TCTACCACGGAGTTCACACAGGGGTGCCTTTTGCACACAGCAAGCACACACAACGACAGAGAAAGAGATGTCCTGAGTTCTACTCTACAATCTTTGCAGTTTAAAATAAATAGAATTCTGCCTGCCGCGAGGGACAGAGGTGTAGACCTTAGTNNGAACGGCAGCGGCATGAAAAGACCTGTCATGTGCAAGCGGCTCCTGATGCACACGCGAACCTAAACCCCTAAACCCCTAGACCCCTAATTCCCTGGACACCTACTTCACAAAACCCCAATCCAACAAAGCGTCTTGGGACCGCTTAAGGACTTCGTCCGCGTACTTTGCCTCTAGAGGCTGCTCCAGGTCCTGGCATGCTCCAATTTAGGGGTTTAAGATTTCAGGGCTTAGGCTTTAGGGGTTTGGGTTTTAGGGTTTAGAGGTTTTGGGGTTTAGAGGTTTTGGGGTTCAGGTTTTATGGGCTTAGGGTTTAGGGCTTAGGGTTTTAGGGTTTGGGGTTTAAGTTTAAGTTTAAGTTTAAGGGTTGAGGTTTGAGGGTTTAGGGGTCGAGGTGTTAGGGTTCAGGGTTTTGGGGTCTAGGGTCTCTTGTAACATCACGGTAACGGTTATACAGGGATATCTTTTAAGAGTATATAATGGGGATTAATGGGGGGTATATAGGGGTATATGGCAGAATGTAAGGGAACATGGAAGCTATCGTTTTAGGGTTTACGCTATACGGCATGCTTCAGGCCGTTTGAAACATGGGTTATGTGACCCTGTCTATGGTAGTTTCCAATCGATGTTCCAGCTTCTTTTCCATATGAGTCTCCGTTTGATAAGCCTGGCACTTCCCTAAACCCTTCCTACGTAAACCCTAAACCGCGGTTTAGGGTTCAGGGCTCTGGAGCCTCGAGCTCATGCGACTCATCGTACAGAGCCTCGTCGATGACCTGGCTCTCAAGAAACGCTCCATCAAAGTATCAAGGCTGAGCACAAATTTCGGGAGGGTTTAGGCTTTAGGGTTTGACCATGCTTCTGATGGGTAGTTCCACGTCCGCAACTTGGTGGTTGAATCCAGCTATGTCCTCTTTTAGCATACTATAACCATGTGAGTCAGTAGCAGAATTGCTTTTGTTTTGACGGCATGCTCATTTTGCAGCGAACCTTGCTGCGAACAATACTGATACTACATACCATCATGATCGCCAGAGCAGGAGTAACAAGAGAAACATTGCGAGAGCAATAAGAAACCATGCATGACGTGCTGTACCAACCAGAATCATAGCAGTGCTATGTAGGAGCTGAGGCAAGCTCCCGCATGCCCATGCATTCCTCCTTCTCCTTGGCGTTGAGCGGGTCGGGCATGGGAGCGGGAAAACGAACAAGGCTGAATTGAGGATTTAGAATTCAGGGTCTGGGGTTTGGGATTTAGGATTCAGGCTTAGGGCGTGTGATGAGAAGATGGAGCAATCACCACAGAAGCATGAGATCAACAATCACAGAAAACCTGAAATTGAACCACCCATTTGAGGTGGGGCCTTGGTATGTGATGGCTCTTTATCATTCCCATCATCATTACCCATCCCCATATGGTGGTTTCCCAAAATAACGGGTACCCTTTTTGCAGGTTCCCATAATAAGGACTATAATATTTGGGGTCTGTATTGGGGTCCCAATATCTAGGGAAATGACCATATTGCACAATTAGACCCTCTTCGGTATCAGCACATTGCTGGAGACATCTGAGCTTGTTGCCGCAGACTCCTTGTGGTCTTTGTCTTTGTGTTTGTCGATAACCTGCGTGGCAACCCTCAGGAATACCAAGGATCGAATTGCAGCACACTCGTTATCATGCTGAAAACTCAGCGGAAACAACGATTTCCATTCCTTCTAAGACGAATGGATGAAGCACATCTCACTCAGTACCCTGCACCCATACTGTTCCTATCAACATATTTACGACCTTTAAGCCAGTCAGCCAGGTTGTTAGAACGACTGCTAGCTGGAGGAGAGGCCTTCCACACGCCCGGGTACGGCTCGAACGGCGGATCGTCGATCTCGTCAACCTCTGAAATAAACCTGACGGAAAAGCAGCAGCCAGGCTACTCCCAGAGGCCTCCTAGAAGCCCGCATGCTCCCTGGCTATCTCTGGTCCGGACTGGGCCCCGTGCGCTACGTTTTTTCTTGCTCCGAACTCAAAGCCAACGCACCACTTCTTGTTCACCCAGAAGAGGAACCTGGGCAAGACATAACTGATCGTAACTGTGCTCACAAGCCAGAGACGCACAAAATGTAGCGGCTGAAGTACAGAAGGACCCCAAGACAGGACCCCTACGGTCTTCAGAAACTTCGAGGCAAACCCGCAGCCCTTAACCCCCAAAACCCTAAACCCCCCCAAACCTTAAACCCTAAGCCCTTAACCCTGAATCCTGAACCTTAAGCCAGAAACCCTAAACCTTACATGAGCCATAGTCTAAACTCCTAGTATCCCCTTTAATAACCCCTGTAGTAATCCCTATATAACCCTCCTTTAAGGAGTTTAGACTAGAGCTCACATCCTAAACTCTGATAGCTCTAGGATCGGCACACTTTCTTTCTGTCCGCAAACTTGGAGGCCTTGCAGTATGCTGGCCTGGCATTACAAGATTTACAGGGTTTTATTGGGTTATACTGGGTTTTCTGGGGGTTGTATGGGGTTATATATGGTAATGTAGGGTTGCATATGTCATTCCATCGAGACCCTGCCTTTTGTGGGTGGTTAAGGGTTTGGGGTTCGGGTTTAAGGTTTGTTTTTCATAATTTTTGGGCGAAAGATCTTCCGAACAGCTCACTGATGCTTTGTTTATTTTTCTAATGGCTACAGTGAAATCCAAAATTGCTACCATGAATGATTCTTGCTGGCGCTGCTACAAGCAGAATCTATCGTCCCCCTTAAGTAGATAGAATATGGCTTTGGGTATATTATAATAAGATCCCCATGTACCCCATATTCTATCTACCTTAAGGGCGACTATACCCTAAACCCTAAATAGTAGTTTCCATTTTCTTTTCCATTATCCCAGTATAACCCCTGTAACGCCTCTATCTACCCCGTTGTAATATTGTAGTTTCCATTTTCTTTTCCATTATCCCAATATAACCCCTATAACCTCCATATCTACTTAAGGGGGAATCTAGGCTGAAACTATAGTCTCTGTGTGCCGCCCAAGACAGCACTCCCCTTCTCTCAATCTATAAGCTACCAAACCCTTAACCCTAAATCCCCCCTAAAGCCCGACACCCCTAAAAGGCATTCTCAACTTAGCACCTAAACCCTAACCCTAAATCCTAAACCCTAAACCATCAAGAGGAAGGCCTGCCGCGACTGGATTTGCTAAACCTCCTGTGTGCGGTGTGCTGTGAAGGTGGGTTTGGGGGTTTGGGGGTTTAGTGTTTAAGGTTTTAAGTGCATCGGTTTAAGGCTCATGGTGATCAAAAAGCAAACTACTTTAGGACTTGCGGTTTAGGGCATAAGGTGTAAACGTGTTGGGATAGTAGTAGGTGCTAGGGTTTAGGGGCTGAGGTTTAGAGTTTATTTCTCGCGTAACAGCGAGGACTATGCCAATAGTCAGCGCAGTGGAAAACAAAGTAAGATGATATGGCGTAGACATCTATTTATGCAGAAGACAGAAAAGGGCTAACAAGAATGTCACGAACATCAGTGATGGTAGCCTGGTAAGTAAGATCATCGACAACCCACACATGCATTACAGGAATTGTGCCTTCCAGCGCCTGCCTGCCGCATCCCGATTGCTGGGACTCCAAGAATCAACCAGGACTGTCAGACGGTTATAAGGTAATGAAAAAGAAGATGGATCCTAAATTAGGGAATAATTAGGGTATATCTTGGGGTTCTATGGGGGTTAACAAGGTATCATGGAAAATAACATGGAAACTACTATTTAGGGTTTAGGGCTCAGGACCAAAGCTATGGGAATCCGCTAGTTGCTACCTGCCGAGCCTCGTATGCTACATGTCCATACACCCATCTTCTCAAATACATCCCTATGTACCCAAACCATACCCCTATACATCCACGTGTATCCCTATGCATCAAACCCCTACACCCCAAACCCTAAAACCCAAACTCTAACCCAAAATCCCAAACCCCAAAACCCCCAAACCCAAACCCAGACATGACAGGCCTATAAAGGCCGTTGGCCTTTTCATAGAGGCAGCCCTTAGCATCCGCGCAGATGCGGGCGCTTTTGCGATGAGTTTTGTATTAAGAGCACTGAACGTAAGATTCAGGATTGAAAGGTCACTTCCAAAGTGACGAAAAAGGTGAATCTTGTGGACTGGTAAACTGAATAGCAAGTGTTTTCTCGAAATCATTGTATGGAAGGCTCCTATAATATCTGAAACATGAGGCTCCAACAAACATGCCAACTATGCTGATTCTTTATAGCACGACCCTCCGGCAAGACCCCAGAACCTCTGAAATTCCCGGGCTTGGCCGATGTAGAGTGGATAAGGTTGTGCAAGGATTGTGAGTGCACATGCAGCTAAACCACGAAACATAGCGAATACACGGGACGTGAATCATCAAATCCTTGATGAGGGGACTACGAGATGTTGTCATAATCATGGTCGCCACTCTCGCTATCCAGCGCTGCTCCCTTTCTATCCATGTATCTCCTCACATGACCCTTGGACTTGCAGCCAGTAGGGAAAAAGGGAATATCTTATGTAAGGATAATGCAAGGAGTATATTCCCGTTTTCCCTCCCAACAACCAGTAAGTGAAAGCAAGGGACCGGTGATGTGAAGAGATCCCAGTTCTGAGCCATCCGCTTCTATCCGCAGGGCCTTGGGGAAACCTGACACGTCTACCTGCGAATCAGGGCGACGTGGCTGTGTTAACCACCTCCCTACAACTACAAAATAGTGCAGCTCATCATACAAATCTACTACAGGGTGCTACATCTTTAGGGGGTGGTTATGGAGTGAGGTGGGAATACCAGTCTCTTGGGGATTGGTATTTGATCGCCTTCAGCTCACGGCTCATGGAAATCGTGAGGTTCCCACATCCTCAGAGGTCACCATCATCCGCAGACTCCCCCTACCATAAGGTCCTAAAAAATTGATCACCAGGGTTCTGGCTTCAATATATTCTAGCAAGATATGGATGAGAAGGGGAAGGATTACAAATGATGCAGGCTCTTCGTCAATACTCTGCTTGGATTTCACTGGGTGCCTGTTGAAGTAGAAGCGCACGCTCATGAGATGTCACAGGTTCCCTGGAGCAGTAGAGAACGTAGTGATGGCAGCATGGTGAACAATGATAGCAAGCAAGACAAAGGACTACAACGACTACAACCGAACACAACTGAATCACTGAGACAACCACCCTAAGCTTTAAACACTAAATCCCAAACCCTAAGCGCTGGACCCTAAACCCTAAACCCTGAATCGTAAACCCTAAGCCCTAAACTCTATGATATTCAAAGGGCCATGGGCTCCCCCCCAACCTCGTCGTATTCGGTGTCGGTTTCCACTGCCGGCATGTCAGGGACAACTGCCTATCCACCAAGGCTTCGTAGACAAAACGCATCCAGACCCAGATCCAAAATACTTAGCAGAGCCCTCATGTGTAGGGTCACATGTGCCAAACTTGGATCTTACTTTTGCCGACAGGATTGGGATCCAATATATTCAGCTGGTAAGAAACCGAGCCGAGTCCTAGAACCTCTCAAGACGAGCTTTGAGTTTGAGACACTTCACATCAGCCGTGTAGTAGCATATTATACTTTATTATAGTATATTATAGTAGATTATAGTATTTCATAGTATATTATAATATATTATTGTAGATTATAGTACATTATAGTACAATATAGTATATTATTGTATATCACAGTATATTATTGTATACTATAGTAGTGACTGAAGATGATGAAATCGTGCGATTGAAGCGAACCTCGTCGGCTTCTTGTCTCTTTCGCTTCCTTCCTGGGGCACAGCATTTTCTGAACAAGTGTCAAAAGACAGCAACCCCACTAAAGGCGGAATAGTCCACTAGCAGAAACAGCAACATCCTACTGTTTCCCACTAGAATATACGATAATATACTTTAATATACTATAATCTACTCTAATATACTATGGAAGAAAAAAGTAAGACAACGTCTGAGGCGGCAACTTGAGGATGCTCCAGTGTCTGCCTTCCAGGTCTGTATGAGCCGACATCCAATCCCTTCAGCACTGATACTGGATGGGACTTCAAGGGGCCTAGGTCATCCTTGGGTTATGATAGGGATTATTATAGGATTATATAGGGGTTATATGGGAGTAATGGAAAAGAAAATGGAAACTACTGAAAGGGGGGCTGGTAAACAGGGCCAGACCATTCTAGTTGTGCCATCTTCTTGTCCTCTAACCCCCTTTGCAAGAACAGCCCCACAGCGGACGTGCAACGGGCTGTTGCACCTTAAACCCGTAACCCCTTAACTTACTACAAAACGACTAACTTCAACAAATCCTTGCTTCTGTGGCTCTTCCGTCGGTGCGGGGAACCATTCCCTAAACGCTATAGTCCCCCTTAAATCGATAGAGTATGGGTTATATGGAGATCTTATTATAATATACCCGAAGCCATATTGTATCTACTTAAGGGGGGCCATAAACCCCAAAGACCGAAACCTTTGACTTGCAAAGCTTAGCGGTCCTCCATAATCTCATTCAAAGCATCTTCGTCCTGAAGATGCCAAGACCAGCGACCCGCGGCTCTTGAGATACTACCGGACTTGAAGGTCTTCCAAATTAGGGGGACTGTTTTGAGGATCCCAATGATAAGGATCATGTCATTTTGGGGTCTAATTGGCGTCCCCCTATTTAGGAAAACTACCAAGTAGAGTTAGGCTGAAGGATGTACTCATTTTGTGCATACTTGGGATTGTGAGGCACTAGGCGGTTGCTCATCATCCAACTTTGCACTCCCTGCAAAGCATGTCCTCTTCCTCATCTTCCTCCTTGACCTCAGTCTTCACCTCCACTTTCTCCTCCTTTTCCTCCTTCAGCTCGTCCTTGACTTCATCTTTTTCCTCTTTTTTGATGCCATCCTCAGGCGTGTCAGCTTTATCAGCTGAGTCCTGCGCAGCTTCCCAGTTGATACTAATAGTACTACTAGCAATAGTAATAATAGTAATACTTATTATAATAGTACTAGTAATACTAATGATGATAGTAATACTAATAAAAATAACAATGTGTTCTTGTGGAAGTACATGTTTGCATGCCTTCTCTTGCGGTTGTATTGAACTGCACCAACAGTAAAGCAGGTCGAAATGCTGATGATGACAAGCAGAAGCAGCATCATGTCAGCTCAGTGGCATGATGACAGAGTCTGGTCAGATCTTGGTGAGCAAGGAGAAGATTGTACAGGTGATGATGAGGATGAGGATGATGATGACGACGAGAGCAGTATGCCGTCGTCTCTTACCATAATTTCAGTGCTGAGCAATCCTGTCCTTGTAGAGATTTCATACTAAACAGGTGCATAAAGTCATTCGCAGCAATGATCCAGTCGTTACACCAGGCTTCGATGATGCCTAGATCCTAGACCCTACCCTCAACGCTTCGCCGAAACCTAAGTTATGAACAAACTTAGTCCATCAAAACCTCCCAACGCCAAGCCAGACCTCTGTCCAACCTCTCTAAAGAAACATGTGCCCAATGATAGTAATAATAGTGACAGTAATAATTCGTAATAATAATAATAATCATAGTAACAACAAAGATAGTACTATTACAAGTAATAATCGCATATAAAGTTGCTAAGGCATTTCCCAGCATGCGGGATATGTGCTCTGAATAAGTCAAATCTCAACGGCAATAATCCCTTCTTCTTTTATTCATTCCTATGTAGCCCAGAGGGAATATTCATTATTCAAACAAAGGGTGAGGGGGTTACTACAGCAGTAATTATTACAAAGAAGAATTACATTCGTTATTGAAAGGGTGAGGGGGGGGGGTACTGCAACAATACTTATTACAAGGAGGATTACATTCATTATTCAAAGGGTGGGGGGCTTACCACGAGCTATAGTCTCGTTGGACCCATACTACAAATAACATGTTTAATGATTCCTTAGGGTTATACCATGATAGACTTCAAAAATAATTCCTCCGGAGACTACAGCGAAGGGGGAGGGGATTACAGCGGCAAACCCTATTACAGTGACGAAAGGTCCTGATTCTTTGCGGCCTCGGCCTGCCACAGGGCTCCCTCAAGTAAGGTCCAAATGCGCTACAGTCTAAACTCCTCTAATATACCAAAATATGCTATAATATGCCATAATATGCTAAAACATGCTAAAATAGGGTACAATATGCTATAATATGCTATAATAGGGTAGTTTCCATTTTCTTTTCCATTATCAGTATATAACCCCTAAATAACCCCGATATGATTGATGATCATAGTTTCCATGTTCTTTTCCATTATAGTCTAAACTCCTCAAACTTGTAAGGCTTACAGTTTCCAGCTGTGCCAGCTGCAGACAGTCACTAGTGCCCAGTGTGTGAGCTGTGGTCTTCTCATCAAAGCAGGTTGGAGCCAATGAGTTGCCATGTGTAGTTTCCTTTGTATTTCCCATGATCCCTACACAGCACCTATATAACCCTAATAATATAATAGTAGCTTCCATTTTATTTTCCATTATCCCTATATAACCCCTGTATAACCCCAATATCGTAATAGTAGTTTCCATTTGATTTTCCATTTCGAACTGTTCAGGCTTCGGGCATCCATGATTCGCATGAGCCTGTGAATGAAGGGAAGTGTCAGACGTACGAGGTGTAGCATGGAGCAACATGTTCAGAGCTTCTGCGCTGTAAACAGGCTACGATATGGATGCCGTGGCCAACGAAAATAGTACAGGGATAGGCGGCAAAGCCGTGTCTGAGATCTCATATATCGGGGAGTATTATGAGGGTTTCTGAGGAGGATACTAGGAGTTCAGACTATGGCTCAAAATCAGGCCAGATAACTCCCACCCTAACACCCCCGCAGCCCCCGAAATAGGGCCAAGAAGCCCTTACTTCACCGGGATCAGGGGTTCTGGGGCCTGATTTTGGGAGAGTGGGATGGTTTTAGGGTGCAGGTAGTACGGTCCTGAGGTCAGATCATGGCTGGATTATCAGGTGCTTTTTCCTGGACTTGTGTCGTAAGTCAGACGTGCAGTGTTTATGATCTAGAAACCCTTAAACCTTACACCCCTAAACCAACCCTAAACCCTAAACCCTAAACCTGAACCCTAAATCCTAAACCCTAAACCCCTAAACCCTAAACCCCTAAACCCTAAACCCCTAAACCCCTCACAATGCCAGCGAGGCTGGGCGAGCCTCCTTTTTCTGGCGCTTTGCCTGCATGTTCTTAGAGCAGGAAGGCTTTAGGGTTTAGGGTTTAGGAAGGCTGTGGATTGTGAAGAAAAATTGGGGGTCCTGCTTCGCTCTTTGATACAGGAGCCATAATCTAAACTCCTAGTATCCCCCTTAATATGTCCGATAGTAATCCCCTATATACCCCCCTATAATATAACCCTCTTTAAGGAGTGTTGATTATGGCTCACATGGTTAGATCCCAAATTCAACAAATACCTGCAGGAAGCGTCTATTTGGAATGTATCGCCACAGCTTGCACGGCATCCCGCTTTTAGCAAAGCCTGAACCCTAAGCCCCGAACAGTTCCCGCCTTCAGCAAAGCATCATCGCCACCAATTGCAATCCCCATCATCCTTGACTGCGTGGTAGTCTGCAGGCGAGGCTTAGGGTTTAGGGTAGCGCCTATCCCTACTAATTTCCACAAACAAGCTCCATCAAATACCACAAAGTCGAAACCCTAAATCCTAAACCCTTAAGCCCTAAACCCTAGATTCAAAAAACCCAAGCCTAAACCCTGAACCCTAAACAGCGACCTGGCTCACAAATTGGACGGCTGGGCCACAGACGCCCTTTGCAAGAGGTGCCGCTGCCAACATAAACCAGCAGACTCAAACCTCTGGCAGTTATGGGGTTTAGTGTGATATTTAGGGTTCAGTGTTTAGGGTTCAGAGTTCAGGGTTCAAGGGCTTCGTGGCTTAGGTTTTAGGTTCCAGGGTTCAAGGTTTGGAGTTTAGGGGTTTAGGGCTCAGGGTTTAGGGTTCATCTTCCAAATGAGATAATAACTCTGGGAATGCGCGAGCAGGGCAGCACGCAAACTTAAGGCCCCTGTACAGCCACAGTAAGTATTAGTACGATAGTCCACTGTGCTTGCTAGGGAGGAGCGTGATGCGCCAACTCCTGTCACATGGGACATCATAACAGAAAGCCAAAGAGATTTCAAGGCTGGGAGTTTTTTCTTGGCATCTGTATGCTGCGCCGTGAGGTCTTGCCCTGGATCTGCGCCATGCAGCCCACCCACGTTTCCACCAAGAAGTGTGCTAACAAACTGCCGTCCCAACTATCGATCTCTAGCAAGGCCCATAGGCGGTGAAGCTTTCGCTGCGAGCAATGAACGCAACTGAAGTTTTTACTCCGTACATATGAACAAGGTCCGTCATGAGTATCTGCACCCTCACTTTGTGCCAGGCCCAAGGGCAGACACACTTACAAACTTGAGGCTTCCAGCATGTTTCTGGGAACTCGGCATTCTTAACCACATTTTGGCCTGGTGCTATCACAGTTTGTAGTCTACCCTGGCATTTTCATGAGGGTTTACGGTTTAGGATTTAATCAAAACAACCACTGGAGTTTTCACTAGTCGCCTACGCGCTCACAGCTCGCATTGCCCAACAATAATCTGTCTTCACACGACAGCGTACTATGGGTTTTGAATGTCCGGATGCTGTTGAATGCAGGAGCAGTCATTTTACACACTCTGGCCCGTGCCGTTGCTTGAGCTGTACTGTCATGCTATCCTGACGTGTTCCTGTTGGAGAGCCATTTTTCTAAGCAACTTCCTACATCAATTTTACATGTATCCGACACACCTACTGCTGACCCACACACTTGCTGTCTTTTGATGCCGATTGATAATCCCAACGCCTTAACTTCCCATTTTTAGTCATTCAAATGATTACCGCTGTTGGAAGATTTCGCCACGCTCTCAATACTGCCGCACTCCTGAGAGGATACAATCCTATCACATAGTAATGCGCACGCTGCTGAAGCACATAATGGCATACTACCCGGTTTTGTCACGAGGACTGTGTGTAACATCGCAGCCCGCTTCTACTCAAGCGTTGTGGCATTTGTGCCGGACTTCTGTTAGCCTCCTGGCCAGACTTGCCGACAAAGCAGTGGCCAACGAAAATTCGTGCTGTATCGTTGCTTTCATGCTCGTGGAAGGAAACATGACTCAGTTTGAAGATTGTTGGCAGATGGCACGCGCGGAAAACAGCACTAGAAGCTGGAAAGTAGCGGTATGAACGATGGTGAGTAAGACTGGTGGTCATGCTGCTGAGAAGGATGATAGTGATGCGACAGGGTGTGGACAAAACAAGTATTTGCCAGATATCCTCATTGCACCTTCCATTGCCGTCATCCTATCATCATCATCATCATCATCATCAGAACCATGACCACCACATTTATCATCGTCGTCGCCCTCATCATCACCTGCACCAGTATGATTACCATCACTAATGTCAGGATCGTCACTGTTTCCATTAAGGTGACTCCACAACCCTTATAAACGATGATGCTCAAAATACTCGGTGCCAGAGTGGAGAAGATGAACGTTGTGAAGGCGACCCTTGCCTTTCTACCAATGCTGGTGGTGATGATGATGATTATTACCATGCTACTGGCGGGCATGATAAATAGTCACGCAGATTATAAGCCAGCATATGCTTGAGAAGACTATAAAGGTCGGATGGCACGTGATGCTCAGTATAAATGATGCTGCTGACTCACATGAAACATAAGAAGCAATGAGAAATGATATGTATCATCGCTGGAAGATATTCTTGCTAGTGATAAAAAAACCGCAAATGGTTACAACGGTGGTAGCTGAGTCATCGGTGGCAGGTGGCCAAGACGATGGTGACAAAACTGACCATGAGGATGATTATCTTTACCATTATTATGAGTATCATGGTGATGATGTAGGCACCGGCGCTGGTAATGGCGGTGTTTGTGCTACGCGCGCGGCGGAAGCAACATGTGCGTAACATATCTGTCCTATCGCCACACATAATTTACTTTGTGCAGGATGCTGATGCTTCACCATCTTGCAGACATTTATCCAGCACCTGCTTGCTTAGAAGCATGTTGGCATGGTGGCATGCTTCTGCGTGCACCCTGTCCATTTGCGCACCCGCGGGCGGTTTTTGCTTTAGCCGAACTCTTGCTTTAGCTGACCAGTCCATACTTCGCATGATGAGAAAGCGCAGAAGCGCTCCGTGCCAGAGATGTACATCATTTTGTCATGCGCACCCTGACTTTTGAAAGTTACGCATGCCAAGCTACGCTGCCAGTGCGGGAATGTAACTTGGCTGTTTACAAGTGTCCAAGCAGCAGACCAAATGCTGAAACGACTCCTGTTCAATAGATGCAGCCTTCAAAACGCACACGGCTGCAACATCTGTGAGTCTCGAGCACATAGTCAACCGCTGAAGTCACGGTAGCGAAAAGCATGGTCCGTAATGGCTGTCGAGACTCGGCTCGAACTGATGTTGCTGTCTTTGTCTCCATGCTGTAGGCAAGGGTTTGCCATATCTTTGCCAAAAAATCAATGGGCTGCAGCGATCCGGTTGGCCTTGCATGGCAAATGCTGTGCTATTGGTGCGTTCTATTTTGTGTGTTATGAGCCAAGAATTCCCGAAGGAAAATGATGTTTGGGTACTCTGTGCCTTTTGGAGTTCCTGCATGCAAGAGTACAAAATTGGCCGGGGACCTCACCTTTGAAAGTGGAAATCACCCTTACCAAACGTCCATTGACGGAGCCTGTGCGCAAACATCTTTTCAAACGCGAGACAGAAACGATGAGATTGGGCAACATTGGCTAAGGTTGGCACAAGCGGAGGACGATTTTGACGTCGTTACTGCAAGTAATGGTACAGCTGGCGAGAAAACTATCATTGTATCACAGGGCCGGTGGAGAACTCTACCGACAGCTTTTGCAAACGAATCGAGCCTGCTGCAAGAACACAACTGGAACTGTTTCTGGTGTGATTTGCAAATCTTACTCTTCAAAAATGCGCGTACCGCCCCAGCATTAGCTTTTCCTGTTTCAGCAGTCAACAAATGAAGGGCGAAGGTCCGGCTGAGCTTGAACTCGGCGATGGCTACTCATACGTCCACGCGATACAAGCAGGGCAAGCTTGCGGCACTTGTGAGTGCAGAGCTCGTGCGAGGGAAAACCTCATGTCACAAGCGTCCCAGCTTGCTTGTTTGTGTGTCTTGGTCAGCCTGCGAATGAAGGGTCGAGGTCCAGCCCACGCTGAGTCGGACGAGTGCTCACAGCAAGCTTTTAGTTGGAATGCGTGGCAGAAAACCAATGCGTTCTATCCGCGCCACTATCTTGTGCTAACTATGCTTGACACACCCCTTGTTGCAGCCACTCACGACAGGTGCAAGTTACACAGGACCAAACGATGCATGTTTTTTTGGGTATAGCCCAATCGGTTAGGATGACACATTCCACCGCGAAGCTTGAGAGGTGGACAACATGAAACACAAATCACAACCTGGGTAACGCGCAGGCGGAGTCTGTCGCCGTATTCCAGCGTAAAGAGCCTGGGAACACCAGTGGTTTTCAGGGCTTGCAAGGCTTTCGAGATTCAAGCCTCAGATATTTCGGAAGTTGATCAACCCATTTGCAGCTACTGCAGGACTTGTGTATGTGAGGCTGGCGTGTCTGTCTGAATCTTGGGATAGCCAAGCTAATTGAAGCTGCAACGACAACGTAGATGGCACATGCATCTGGTAGTTGGCGAATTTTTTTTTGCAAGCTAAGATCGGAGCGCTGAGGGTCTGAAGGCTTGGTTAACATATCTTATATTTGCCCAGAACCAGCACATGCTGCACGACTGACGTCAGGCACAATTTCTACCAACGGGCTTTGCGCATGCTGGGAACACTAAAGAACCGCAACTTGGGTCTTAGCGATGGCAACGCCAGCGATGCCAGCGGACGGCAACTTATTGGATGGGGACTCCAGCTTGTGGGAACTCTTGGCACTATCTCGGGGCCGACGGATTTCACTATTATTTACGAGCACCCATTCCTTCAGCAAGAGCAGCCAAAATCAGAAAGACTTGCCCGAACGTGAAGGCAGCAGAATGTCACGCGCTCTTTTTCAAAATGCGCGCCTGGCTGCTTCTTTTCTTCTTCAACGGAACAGGTTGCACACAGGCAAAGGCGTCTCTGCCCTGGTTGCAATAACAGCAGGCGCACTGCAGCTGCTTGTAAAGCTGAAGGGTTGCGCCCAGCTTCTGCCGGCTGTTCTGACAATGCAACATGGTAGTAAGGCCCCGCTACATGCTGTACGGGACCAGTATATGCGCGTTAAACGTCTTAAGCGCACATAACTCCACAAACCTGAAAAATCAGGAGACGCGTTGGGTGTCTAAATGGCTGTTCCTTTCTCCCAGTCATTCCTCTGCAGCTGAAAGAAAGCAGGCTTGTGTCCAAGTCAGCGTAGAAGATATCGGCTGCTGAAGTGACAGAGCCACAAGCCGGAACCACAGCATCCTGGCGAACGCTCGGCAACACTGGACCAGAGTTCGGCCCGAGAAGTCTACCAACGGAACTGAGCCGCTTCAAGAGCTGCAAAGGAAAGCCCGCATCCAAGCGCGAAGTCAACTCCACGCGGGCAGCGGGGGAAGGAGAGCGCCACCGCCAATGGCAATGACATTTTTCTCAGATAACCACTTCCAGCAGTAGGGAAGCGCTCCTCTGCATCCAAGCAAGCTTTCCCACAGAGCTGCCAAAGAAGCAGCTTTGTTGCTAGCAGGAAGTTGTGCTGCTCCTCGATAGTGAGCCAAACGGCAGCTCGCAAGGTCCAGGCCGGCCAGCCAATCTCAGCAGAATGACCAACATCAGAGCCATCGCGGCCCGCCATCGGCAGCTCGGCGCGTCACTGTCTAGGTCCATGCTTTGACTCGAGCACTTTCTGCATGGCTGGATCGGGTCAGTGACACTTGTCATCCCAGAGGTCTTTTGCCCTCGGGGCGAACATGATGGTGATGATGATGATGATGATGATGGTGAGCTTTGAGAGGTTGGGGTCGTCCAAGGTGAAGAAATCTGATGCATCTGAGCGCGACCCTTAACTAGGAGTCCGAAAACGCGGGAATCGGAACGCTGTCTTCAGCAGAGCGCGGGGGCTCCCGCGAAGCCCTGGACCTGCTGCAGGAGCGGCTGTCATCCCTGTCCTGCCGCCACGCCCCAAATACCACCCAATCCGTCCACTGACTCCGCTGGCGAGAGTGTACCATGTGCTGTATGCGCCGGACTGCCGAGCAGCTGTCACAAGGCCCACCGTCCTCGGCAGCCTCACGGCGGTTGCAAATGCGGCTGCATGTCCAAATGCGGGCCTCTGCATCACCTCCGGCTTGGGCAAAAGATGGCTGCAGCGGGGAACGAGCAATGAGGTGGTCACTGCATGCAACACAATTATCAATGCCATTTGTTGTCCCGCCCTCGCTGTCTGCTTGTCTTGCTGTTGCCCGATTGCGAGGTTTGGGGTGCCAGGTTTGGGGTTGGCCATTCCATGTTGGCGCCTGGCCCTGTTTGGACCTGCAGCAACGCTTCCGCCGCCGTGGCCGGCATTGGCGTGGCCCCGTGGAGGAGCTTGCAGACTACGGTCGTCGGCGAAACGGCGTTCCGTAGCGCCAAGGCTGCACTCTCCGGTGACCATCAGCAGCAAACACTTCAAAGAAAAGAATTTACCCCCGCAACATCCCACCCCAAGACTCTAGCAGGCCAAAAATCTGCGCTTTTTCGGGTGTCGCTCATGGCCACCATCCGAAAACAAACCAAACGCTAATTCAATGCTCCAGCAGCATGCGACACCGCGGTGCACAACAGACAACAATCCGACTGTTAGATTTTGCAGGCTACGATTCTTCATGATGCTATGTTTCTGGTAGCCAAAGGTGTGGGGACACGCGCCACTCAGTGGCTTGGAAAGGGAAGTGCAAGAAGTGGTGGATCAATTGAGTGAGATCCTGGGAGATAGGACGTGAGAGCCTGCTCGAGCTCGAGAGCTCGAATTTTGTAGTGTCGCTGACGGCAAGTTTGAGTGATGGCCTGCTTGACTGTAGCTGTGCTGGTCTTGCGGGTTGTCATGTTCGACCGTCCCTATGTCGCTCCGCGGTGGGGCCGCGGGTAGTCCTGCAGTATTGTATGCAGTGCCACAGTTGTACTCCTTGCTCAGCTTGGTCGTGACTCGTCTGAAGGCTGCGAGAGAGCAAGAGAGAGAGAGAGAGAGAGAGAGAGAGGGGGAGATGTTTCTGGTAGACCTGGACGATTTCAACAATTGCTATGGAGCAAGACGTCATGTTCATTCACCATGAGTTTCATTGCACTTTGTGCCGACCTGTTTGCATTTTAGTGGCAGCATACGCAGAGTGTAAGCTGAAGTCCGTTTGAAATGCAAAGCATTATCACAGCATGCAAGCACACACATACACACGCAGACACTGGTACAATCTGATCAGTTCTATTGACGAAGTAGCGGATGATGCTGATGATGAACGATTCTAGCACATGATGGTAAATGAAAATTTTGATTCCATGTGTATGCCAGACGTTCAGAATGGCATGCCTGCAACACTTGGTGAAATGAGGTTCCATATGAATTGGGGTAATTCTGCCCCTTTACATCCGGCCAAAGGAATGATGCAGCACGAAATGGCATGAACGTGAATGAAATGAAGGCCCTGCCAGCTACCCCACGGGGTCCAGGCGCTGACCGAAGATAATGCACCCTACAGCAGGTCCATTTTCTTTGGGAGGGTCGGGGAGCTTCGTTGGGCAGGGCTCCCCACCCTTCCCCCTGGCCCCTTGCTAAAGAGAAGAGAGAGTGACCCACAACGTGCATGTCCTAGCAAGGTTCACACACGCACAGACACACCGGTGCAGCCCAACAATCCACTGAGGTGTGGACGTCAAGCCCAGCGGTGTGAGCGATCATGTGCTCATGAACGCTGTAGTGCTTGAAAGGTCTAGATTTTGGGTAAGCTGCTCTAGGTGTTACCTGGTGGAGTTGCTTGGCTAGGTTGGCTGTAAGTCGGCTACGTGATGTGTACGCCCTTGAAAGGGGCCTGCTAGGCTCATTTGACGCCTATGCTGGCTTCTTTCTTTCACGATCTTTTTGAGCCAGACACGCCGAGCACGTCCTGAAGCTTTTCTTGGCGGACTCACTTACTGGTGGTTACCAGGAAATCAGGGAATATACTCCCCATATAACCCTGCATTACATATTCCTGCATTTTTCTACTAACCGCCAGCAAGCTTAGAGTTCTTGAAGAGGAGTTCCTTTAGGAGGGGGAGGGGTATTTGGAGTGAATGAAATGAATAAACCTTCATGCACATGCAAATGTTCGTATATGTATATATGAAGATGGAAATGCTCATGTGTATTTGCCAACCCCCGCATCCAGCTTGCACACGCCACCGTGTATAAGATTGTGTACATGGTGATCTGTTTAGGAAACACATCTCTGAAAGAATCCTTGTACCAAGCCTCATGAACACAATACACACCTGGAGCCCCGTAAATGCACCTGTCCTTCCATGAAGAAGCATAGGACGCAGGGAATGTTCCCGTGCTTAAGAGACGCGCGCGCATCCTTTTTCCGCGCGAGCTGTAGTCGTACTAAATAACCATACGGAACCCTATTATCCACCCTCGTATGACTTTGGAGCCACATGGCTGACAATGACTAACTACATGAGAGTTGCCCGCTGCGGAAGCCCATAATCTCTCATGTATCCCTAGGGTCCCCAAACGTATCCCCACTTTAAGGAAACACCAACCCCTAAACCCTTAACCACATCAATACGTTCCTTCGTCTTGCGTGCAGCCTGAGACTACAGCATAACCGCTCAGTGGCCCAGTCACGGTCCCAGGAGCTGCACACGGCCTCACCGCACCGCGGCGAAGATTCGTGGCTTTCAAGCTAAGGGTGCAGCAAGGGGCCCTAGGGATATCTGGGGATTATGGGGAGGGGATTTAGGGTTTAGGGCTTAGGGGGAGGAGATTTTCGGCTCTTGTCAAGATAGGAAGGCTTGTGAGAAACACTCATATTGACAGTCTTTTGGTGCAGGGACTCATGCAGATGGGTTATACGGGGACTTTATAGGGGTACATACCCCCAATATATAGGGAGACTGCAAAGGATCATGGAAACTACTCTTAGGGTTTGGGCTGTAGCGTTTGGGTTACTATAATTTTAATTATTGCTGTGACTACTCTTGTGGCTACTACTATTACTATTTACTATTAGGGTTTGGATTCCGGCAGCGGGCGCTCTCGGGAGAGGACGTTCCCAGCTGGCAGTCCGCAAACAGCAGATCTTTGAAGCCGGAGCCTGGCAGATATAGAGTCTTTAGGGTTTAGTTTTTTTTGAACGCCTTTTTCCGCCTGCACGGAAGGCCTACATAGGCAGGCGAACATATGTCCCATCAACCACCGGTTCCCGTCACGGCACGCCACTAGCCCCCAGCGACTCAGTTCAAGCAGGAAAGACTCTGTACGCACAAACAGGCCCACGCATCCTGTGATTAGGGTTTAGGCGGGTTGAGGGATTAGGGTTTAGGGGACATGAAGCACACCAGCCATCCAGTTGCAATGCCACGAAATATACTGATGGCAACAGCTATAACAGATCTTCATGATGATGTTGATAGTGTTGTTGTGGTGATTCTTGTTATCATTAGTCTCAGCGGGCACGCATGCTTGTTCTGTAAACATGCCATCAAGGCAGAATGACGGCCAGTCCTGCCACAGCGACAGAAGATAGAAAGTGACACTTTCTGCCACGGGCTCCCCCTTGATTTCGCCCACCAAACCCAAAGGTTCTCCCTTGATCTTACTTAGGGTTAGTTAATGCTAGATCATAGGGAAACTCAGGGTAGTAGTATGGGAAGCTAGGAGAACCCAGAATTTTAAGTCTATCATACCTAGGGCCTCCCTACATATCTCAGACTAAGTCAGCCCCACTTCTAGGAACACGCAAGTTTGAGAGGCTCACAGATCCCTCATGAACATATTTCAGGGATCTAGGACGCTAATGTTGGCAGTTCTTCATGCCGCTAGATTACCCACCCAAGTGCATGATTGAGTTCGTGAGCTTGTCCAAACCCGTGAACCTGCAATGTTGGACCCCCTTGCGCAGCCCCCCTCTCAAATAACTAGCACGGTGAGCAGTAGTTACGCTTGCATAAGGGGAGCCCCAAGTCCATATCATGATCAGCTCTCTATATGACATCTTTTTAGTCTCAAATCCACAAGCTTGTCGTTTGTACATTTTCCTTGGCAAGATATAGGGCTCCGAACCGCCTCTCAGACGAATCTAGGCGTCTGCGAGTCTACCAAGGGTGCATCAAAATAACCCGTGTATAATCACAAATGAAGACCACCATAACCCTTCATAATCCCCATATATCCTTTGGGGTCCCTAGGATACCTCTATACTTGTAAAAAGTATGAGCCATGGTCTACACTACCAGTATTCCCCTTAAGAAGCCCTAGAATACTCTCCTATATAACCCCTGAAAACTGAATACATTCTTTGAGGAGTTTAGATTCTGGCTCATGTAATTCCAGAAAATGGATTCATGTGGAGTTGGGGTCTTCCCAGCTCTGGATTTGAATACCTCTGCTGCCTTTATGAATCAAAGCTCTGATGAAAGGCTTCCTACATGAACCCCCTTTAAGGCCTGAAACAAACCACCTAAACCCTAAACCCTAAACCCTGAACCGTGGCGACTTCACCTTGGAGAATGGTCTTACACTTGCGGACCCCTCAAACCATATCTGGTAGTTTCTCAAAATCAGTGGCCCCCAATATTTACTACAATCCTGCTTATGGGAACCACCCAAAAACATACCCGATTTTAGGAACCCCCCATCTAGTTCTGAATATTTTTCCCCGCGCTCTGTTGAATCTCTGCAAAAGCGTGTGCAAGATAAACAGGTGCGTGTCCCAAACAAGCGATCCATAGTCTAAACTCTTGGTATCCCCACAAATATCCCTATGTAGTCCACTGTATGATCCCTTACATAAAACCCCCTGTAAGGAGTTTAGACTACGGCTCAAGTAATCTTGTAAGACCCTCTTCAAGTCCTTCAGGCGGTCATACCAGTGGTCTGCAAGTATCGGCTGTTTCAGATACGACCTGGGGGCTTTAGGGTTGAGAGTTTAGGGCATTTGTGAGGGTGATTGCAAGCGGTGGTCCACTTAGGCATTGCTTATTCTTCGAGTCCCATTCTTTACCGCCAATTTGAAAATCACAGCTAAGAACTCTCCGCAAAAGGGACCTCTTCTATTCCATCGTGGGGATCCCAGTACAGACCCCAATCAATACTCTGATCCTTATCGAGGGGACCTCACGAAGGGATCCCCAATTTTGGAAAACCGCCATGATGCAGCTGCCCTTTTCCAGGTTCCAGGCTCAAACAGTGCTGGATCTTTGTCCACCCTGATCCACAACTGCTTAGGATGAAACTTCTGAAAAATGGGGGTTATATAGGGGATGTATTGGGGTTATATAGAGATAATGGAAAAGAAAATGGAAACTACTATAGTATCATAGGGTATATGCTGGGATTACATGTGGGTGGCATTTTTTCATTTTTTTTTGGGGGGGAGGTTCTCCCTGTATGCGGGTGACTCAAAGGAGGGGCTCTTCAGGGGCCCTAGGGTTTTGGGGCTTAGGATTTAGGGCTTAAGGTCCCTAGAGTAATGTGGACCACATTGGAGGTCTGGTCGTACTCGTGACTTTGAGAAACTTTTTTAGGTAGAGGTAGCCTTTAGTACGGCAGCTTCTCAAAAGAGATCTCCTGAATAGGCGGGATTTGCACGGGATCATGGGGGTCCCTACGGATTACTTCAAAAAACTTCCATATGAGCCATTATCTGAACTCCTAGTATACCCCTTAATAACCCCTATAGTAGTCCCTATATACTCCCCTATATAAACACCTTTAAGGAGTTCAGAGTATAGCTCATATAGGTTCTCTTGAGAACCACTTGTCTGCCTTTCGATGTACTGCATGAGTTCCGCGATGTTCTCGAAGTCGTGCGCACCTGTTTGCAGGCCCACATGAGCCATAGTCTCAACTCCTAGTATGCCCATTAATAACCCCTACAGTGGTCCCCGATGTAGTCCCTTATATAACTCCCCTTTAAGAGTTTAGAATATGGCTCGCATGATTTGTTGGCTTGGGTTAGGGCCAGCAGTGCCAAACCGGTGGCAAACTCCACAAGGCAACAAGAGCCGCAAGGGTGAATCAGCTCTTTCAGGGTTTTGGATTTTAGGATTTTAGGGTTAGAGGTCAGTTATCTTGATGAAAAACATATCAGCAAAGCAGAATCTCGATGACTTCGACCCCACACGAAGCCTGCATCCTTTGCCCAAAGCTTCTTGCCAGAACAAAACCTGAAACCCTGAACCTTGAACTATCCAGCCACCAATCAATACTCCCCCATGATGGTACTACATTGGGCATATTTATCAAATGGCGTAAGGTCGCATCCCGAAGCTGAGAGTCAGCTGAGAGTCGGGCTTATCAGTGCTTTGGGGTTGAAGTCCTCAGCATGCAGATTCTCACCTTTGGTTAGCTCGGAATAAGGGAAGGGAAAAGAAAATGGAAACTACTGTATTGGGTTATATAGGGACTACTATAAGGATCCATTCCTTCATTCCTGGCTGACTAAAGGTAAGCAACTCAACTACCAAACAACATACAGATACCCAAGGTGCTAAGAATTAGTTGCTTGTGAAGGTTGTACTTCTAAACCAACTCCAAGCACCCTAAACCCTAAACCCTTGTAGGAAGCTAGCAAAAATCAAAGCCAACGACGCGCATCTGCCAGCTTACGGCAGTTTCATTGCCATGAAGCGCCGCCCAACGTGACTGAAGGAACACGAAAAAGGCTACCTACAAAACTTGTCCTAAACATTGATTGATATTGATTGTTAAAGCACAAGCCCTCTGCACTAACAGAAACACATTTTGAACAAGTCTACACGATTGCCTGTTACCAAACCTCGGAAAGCCGCCTTGCGCTACAATAGCCACAAAACATGGAGCTGGGGCAAATAGGAATGCTTGGATTGCTTTTGCACCCTTTGCCGGGGTGTGGGGGGTAAAGGCCACCCCAGGCTTGCCAGTGAGGGATAATGAAAAAACATGGGAAACTATACGGACTGTAGGGTAAAACCTGAAGCCCTAAGCCCTGAAGTGGAACCTGGACAAGAACTGATCCCAAAACCTAAACTCCTAAATCGTGACTTTTTTGTCTATTCGGGCAAGATATGACTTTCATCCGAGACTCGCTGACGCCTGGGCCTTTGCTGGAGCAGGCCTCTAGCCGCTGCCAAGAAATCATCAAAACGGACCATGCGCCGGGATTACTTTAGGTTTGTTGGGAGGGTTCCTCAAGAATTATGCCTGGATCAGCTGGAGAGAAACTCCGAAACTCTAGACGAGCAGGACTTCCAATGAAAAATGTTGCTTTCTGGTTCTTAGCAGGAAATAAGGGAATCTAATCCCTTCATAATACCTATAATCCTTCTCCCATACTCCTCCTATAGTAGGTCCCAGTAAGTATGGCGTTGTACGTAGTTTGAATGCTGCTGGAGCTGAGTTGTGGGCCGGATCGCCCCAGTAGATGGGGATCTTGGCCACACATGGCAAATGCCGAGCGCAGCTGTCCACACGCTGGGCTGCTTTTCAGGAACTTAAAATGAGTTACCATAATGGGTATACATGGTGAGATAGTAAGTGAAATGGTTTCCCCCTTATAGAAACTTAAATTAAATTCCTTAGCAGCAACCCGGCACACTGGACTCCGTGGTGACAGGTCGAAGCAAGCCTCTCAGGCCGTGACGCACTCTGCCGCGAAAGCATGCAGGAGTTTCTCAGTGCAATAGCCTGGCACAGCGGTACGCGTACGCTAGGAGTGCCACAAATAGTAGGGGAGTTTGGTAACCCCAACCCCCAAAATTAGGACCCTATAACCATCATTTTGGGGGTTGGGGTTACCAAAATCCCTCTATTAACACGCCACATGCAGGGAAGCAGCCCCCGCGGCTTTGTTAAGATACCGGGAACATGACCAGCCCCCCGGCTCTCCCAAATCCACTGGTCTACTTGGCAATTTCACTGAAATAGGGCGACCCCATATATAGACCACAAAATACTGTGCTCCTTATTGTTGGGCACCCAAAAAGGTGCCCCTAATTCTGGGAAACCCCCATTTGTAACTCGCGCGACCAGCCTGGATGAGAAGCATTCTCGAAGCACACGTTAAACCGATAGCCTCGCAGAAACTCCATCTTGTCCTGGAGCAAGGTTTTCAGAATAGTAACATTTATTGTAGTGATGCTACGAATAGTGATGAGAATAGTATAAAATAATATAAGAATATGTATATTGATAGCAGCAATAGTATTATTAACAGCAAGGCTCGGCTCAAATGCCAGCAGCGCACGGAAAGAGCAAGATCCACAGCTCGGTCCTCGACAGGACCTCCGACGTTGTTCATGATTTCCTCAGCTTGCACTTTGTCATTGTCATCATTGTAGGAAGGAAATGAAAAATCCGTCTTCAGCTGGGGTTTCCGTGCTGGACTACCTGCAAAAGATCGGGAAGCCAGGTGAATACCATGATAAGTGTATTCGATGGTCTAGTTGACCAGTTCTTCCCGATTGAATCCAAGCATCGCCACCACAGGCCACAGTCTTGTACCTGCCCAGTGGTGTATGAGCAAGCTTGCATGCCGACGATGCGTGGGTCTACGCCTGCTCGACAGAATCTGGACGAACTGGGTCCTGAACCCAGCATTGTACCTGCGCATGCAGGCACATACTTCCTAACCTATACCTGTGACATCTGCACGTCATTTGCAATAGTGTTCTTGGCGTGCATCGTGGCATTGCTGGCCACCCAGCTGCAGAAGCCGGCCCGCTTTTTGACCGTGGTATTCACTTGGTTACCTTAGTGCCGTGAGCCCAGGGGAGGCTTGAAAATGATGGTCCACGCTCCGTTTCAGGGATTATATAAGGGCTATATTCCTAATTCCCTACTAAAATGAATAAGGGTTCTGCATGTAGCAAGGGATCCAGTTCGCTCGAAAAGCCGGCAAGCAACAACATTGCATGCCCAGAAAAAAGTGTTCTAGAAGTGTGCCATTTCATATAAAGGCCCATCTAACCCTGGCCCTATAGTTCAGGAAATCATGGTTATGCCATTGCTGGCCGCGGCTGACACAAGACAGTTATGGGCATTGAGACATGAGAGGCATGCCTCGTTTTAGCCAAGCCTGGCTAAGGGTCTGCGGAACAAACAGTCCTGAATCATTAAGTGCCTGGCGGCGCCTAGCTTCATGAATCTGTATTACCCGATGGACCTGCACCAACAGCTTTGCCAATGGTGGTGTACGAGCTATGCATTTCAATGGAGGGAAAGCTTGCAGTCTGCCTCCCTGTTGAAGACCCAAAGTGGTATTCGCCTGGGAAAATGGCCAGCAAGAACTTTGACAATGCAAGTCAAGCAATAACATCGCAGTCAGTCAGCTGAAGCTGCGTGCGTGTGCATCGTAGCTGGAACGTCTTCCATGTGGTCGAAAGAGATGCAAAGCGGTATCCTGCCCACCTTTGCACGCGTTGCTGGGTATGCTGTCTGTTCGGGCAATAGACGGTTCAATGATGAAGCAGACGATGGTTCGGTTGGGGAGGGTTGACTTTCGGGATCGGCTCTGACAAGGATAAGCTCTTATTGGACCCGCTCCTATCCTTTACAGCAATGTGTCTCTGAGACCGGTGCAGGTGGTCGGACATTCTCACCTGGCATCGGCACAAACAATCCGTTGCATAGCACTCTCAGGATTCCTTAATGCACCAGGTTCGACGCTGATCTTACGGGGCAACAACTCTTACGGGATTTGACAGGCAGTAGGTACATAGGGATATGCAGGGATATATAGGGTTAATGCTGTAAATGTAGGGTATATAACGTCTTGGATCCCTTAGGGCTCTCAACGCTGGCAGCCTGTGAAGAACACCAGTTTGGCGGTGGAGCCATGCTGCAGGTAATGAAGGCGAGAGCGCCCAAACCTTAGCCGAAAGTTAAACCCACCAATCATTGGCTTCTGAGGTTGCTTTACATACTGCTCATGGACAAACTCCTGCATGATCCTATATGCATCAATGTGGGTGATAGTGTTGCTTTACCATTAGTTGGGGCATGCCGGAACTTGTCCATGAACCGTTGTACGGTGCACGGCAATGGCACCTGTTAGAATTACTCCTTGCTCAGAATTCTTCGCAGGCCTCCCTCAGGGGCATAGGAGTTCAGCCCAGTAGCTTTACTCAAAGGGCTGAGCTGGGCCCAGAAGTAGTTTGGCTGCTGAACTCATTGGCGCTTCTTGTCTGAATATGGTCTAGCTTGGTCGGTCAGGCTTCCTCTCTTCTTCCACCTCCTAAACCCTGCACCCCATATGCCCCTATATATCCCCTAAATACTAACTAATACCGCTGTATAATCACAACAACACCATCATGCACCCCTATATAATCCCTACATACTCTTTCTCAGAAGGCGGACAAGAAGGCCCAAGCGACCTTGCAGGGACCCGGCAGGCCAATCACCAGGAGCTGCTAAGTTGACTGGAGAATTGGGGGTTTCCCGAAATTAGGGGTAACTTTTTGGGGGTTAAGTAGGGGTAATGGACAAGAAAATGGAAGCTACTATTGAGGGTTTAGGGTTTGGGTACCTTTTTGGAGTCCCAATATCAAGGATTATAGCATTTTGGCTCTCTATTGGGTTCCCCGTATTTTGGGAAAGTACCACATGTCTCCAGCTGTAAGCCCAGCACAGGCTGCACATGACGACGTCTGGGCATTCCTGAAGCAGCTTACTTGATTCTGTAGCAACACGGATGAGGTCACAGGTCAAAGGTCTGGTGGATAGAGTGTGTCATCAACAGCCCTCCGTAATATAATCCTAATATAATCCCAATATAATACCAATGTAATCCTAATATAACCCCAATATAACTCCAATGTAATCCTGATGTAGCCCCAATATGACCCCATTCTTAGTGCCGATCATGAGGCTCGACAATCTCGATGCCCTCCAAATGTCTCCTGAACCAGTCCTGGCACAGCTCAGCCGAGAGAAGCTACGGATCTCACGAAATGAGAAAAGCCCGCTCCCCTCCAACAGAGCGGATGGACTTCTGAAGAGAACCCATTTCATTCTTATACAATAAATCAGACCAGCGAAAAGAGTTCATGTTGTCAGCGCCCTGCCTTGCAGAACCACCGGTCAGTGTTGTCCTTGCAGCAGGAGCGCAGACGAGCCCGGATCATGGTGTTAGTTGGCTTGCGACCCCCAGCTACATCATCCTTTTCACGTTTGTGGAGCTGTGAGAAATCTCCAAGCTGGTTACCGCCATTCGTTGTCCCTATCAATGGGTGCAAGAAAATCCTGCACCACCCCAGGCGAACTAAATCGCAGGAATCACGCCAGTGTTAACCCAACAGTACCGTTGGTGAGCCAAATTCTGCATGACTCCATATACTGAAAATCTAGGACCTAGGAACCATAGTAGTCTAGTATACATTATGTCTTAGGTGGCCCCCACCCAGAGTGACTATAAGGGATAATAAGGATTATGGCCCTCTTATATTCCTATTGTACCACTATTACAGGGTAAGGGGTCCTCCTAAATTGTGTCATGGTAACAATGGATGGATGGAGGGGTGGGGATTTCAGCTTCGGGCCCCAGGGCCGACCGAAGCCCTCAACCCTATATCCTAAACCCTAAACCTTAACTCCTAAACCCTTAGTCCTATAACAATCCTATATCCCAAATCCTAAACCCTAAAGCCCTAAATCTTATACCTTAAATCCTAAACCTTAAATCCTAAACCCTAAGACCTCAACACTAATTAATCCGCTTGTTCCAGGCCCCAGTGATGAAGGATGCCGTCCTCGAAGCCCGGCCAAAAATCGACGAAGGCCATGCGCCTTACGAAAAGCAGCTATCAGGAGTTTAGGGTTTAGGATTTAGGGGTTTGGGTGCAGGATTTAGGGTTTAGGAATTATATGGAGGTATATGAGGGTATATAGCGGTTTGTGGGGTTTAGGGTTCAGGATGGAAATGCCGTAAGTATATGTGGCGTTCACGTACGAAACCAATAACCATGGGACGAAGACACAAACCATCGAGACGAATGAAGACTCAAGACTGTGTGCCACAGGAGCTGGATCTTGGACATCGGCAAGGCGTTGGGGATTGCAAAAAACAGATGCTGCTTTGCCTAATCACAGGCTATGAAACACTGATGTCCTTTTAAAAGCTTGTGGAAACAAAGAAATCATTGCTTCTTGGTCTACCTCTTACATGCCGGCTCGCATGCGCGGAGCGGACATGGTTATATTCGTCTCTACATGCTTTTTAGAAAAGGGCAGGTAGCTTCCTTGTTGTTTTGCCCCAAAGACCAGTGATGAGCCATGTAGTTACAGAAGTAGTGTTCTCAGAGTTGTGACAGGGATGCTGGCGGTATGTTGCGAATCCACTGAGGATCCAACCCCGTGGTGCGAAAGCTCAGATGCTTCCCTGGCCTCTTGCTAAGATTCAGTGTCTGGGGTCTAGGATTTGGTTTGGGCTTAGGGTTGTAGGATTACAGGATTTCAGGGTTTGGGGTGTTAGGCGTTGGGGTTAGCTGTAGCATTTTAGGGTCCTAGGGTCTAGTCTAGGGTTAGGGTTTAGGTGTGGGGTTTAGACGTTCAGATTCAAGTTCAGAGTCTCGGTCTGACCGCAGTCTTGGGAGTTCGAGTCCCTGCCGATGTTGATGCCACTCAAAGGCCTCAGACCCAACTAATCCTTCGACCCTGGCAAGCAGCAAGCCACGGCAAAGCAACCCTGCAAGTCTGTAAAATTTAACCCTTAACCCCAAACAATCCTGCGCTGGCAAAAAGATCTGCACTCCTAATTCTCATCGAATTCTTTGGTGATATAATCTAAACAAAAACCTGGGGAAACCCAGGAGTTTGCAAAAAGAGACTCCACGGAAGCACAGACCTCCAACCTTCAACCCCAGGCAGGTGCCGAAACGGGGCCCCCGTGATATATATATCCCAATTTAAATACTATAACCCCTATACTAAGATGGGTTTGGGGGCCCCATAAAAACTCATGGCTTTATAAGGACTATATAGGAATTCAGGATAACACAGGTTTAAAAGCAATTTTCAAACCTACCCCTGTGTAATAGGGACCCTCCCCAAAAAGGGTGGTTGTCAAAATTATGGTCCCTTTTTAGATCCCTATTATAATATGACACCTAATATTCAGGGTACCCAAAAAGGGCCCATAATTTTGACAACCACCCGAATTGAAAACAAAGTAGGTGCCAAGCGAGGGCCATCCCGATCGGCTGCTTTTGGAACCTCCGAGCTGCAGGTTGGCCTCCTCAAGGCTGAAAGTTTAGGATTAAGGGTTTAGGGTTTAGTTTAGGATCAAGGTTTTTTTTTTTTTGTCACTCCCTTTTCCGCCAGCACTTAAATCAGAAAACACTTTCGTGCGGAAGTATTGAAGGTTTCATTGAAGACTCTCAGGAGCCCAAAATCAGAGCACATGGAAGTGCCCCTAGCTGACAAGAAAAGGCTCATCCAGCCAAGCGTGGCAACAGCTTTCCTTTCCACAGAACTGACTGCAACAAACCCTGATACAGCACAAAGCCAGGGAAGGTTACATCCTTTCAGACACAGTCAACCCTTACCAGTTGGACCATGTCAGAAAACAGCTTCTAGCAGCAGAGTTGAGCATGTTCCGCGCAAGGACACCATCGAGGGGGATCAAAAGTTTTTGATTTAGGGTTTAGGGTTCAGGGTCTAAGGTTTGTTTGCTGTTTAGGGTTTATGGTCTAGTTTAGGGTCTATGGTCCAAGGCTTAGGGTTTAGGGTTCAGGGTTTATGGTCTAAGGCTTAGGGTTCAGTGTTCAGGAAGCCGGGGTGGGGGGTGTACCGAACGTCTTGTTTTTCAACATGTGGGCTGTTAGGGATAATGGGGGATTTATGGCGGACACTACAAAGGATAGATTTTGGGGGTTCCTGCACCAAAGACTCGTTCTATGCAAGGGGGTATGGGGGCCTTACACAGTGCTGGCACATGTTCATAATGTGCTTAGGGCAGGAGGGTGCAACGTCCAGGGTTTGGGCACAGAGTTCGGGCACAGGCCGACGTGTTATTCCTTGCTGGGCAGGACAATTTCATCTGCCCTTATCTAAGTCAAACCTGAATATCCAGGCAGGGTCTGGGAATAGGGCTCAGGCTCTAAGCCCTCATTCCATCATTGGCCTTGTCACCATTACCTTTGTGGATTCACGGACCTATCATTCCTGCCACTAGTACCTGTTCCATCCTGTTGCCCCTCCTCCATCGAAATCGCTTCCAGTAGAAAAGGCCCGGCCCTTTCTCAATCGCAGTACCAAGAACCACCTCTTCTTCATCCTCCTGTTGCTCTGTGCGACACTCCTCTGATGTAATAGTGGGAAGAGTTGTAACAGCAGTTATAGCAGTAATAGTACTGATACTTATACTAGTAATAGTTAGTAGACCCGAATGCCAAATCGACGGCCTTGAAGTCAGGCACTGGTGAACCGCACGCAGCCTGCGGAGTGGTCTTCTGGGAGAGGTTCGCAGATCAAGGATGCTCATTGATGAGGTTAAGTTTAGGGTTTAGGGTTTAGGGTTTATAGGATTAAGGGTTTAGATGCTCATTGATGCGGTCAAATCTCCTCTCATTGGCTATCAGCTGGATTCCTCTGTCGAAGCTGTTCGCACAGAAGAGCCATAGTCTAAACCGTCTAAACTCCCAGTCCCCCTTAGTAACCCTGTAACCCTAATCCCTCTAATAGTACCCTGTACAATCCCCTCTATAACCCCCTTTAAGGAGGTTAGACTACAGATCATATAACCTGAATCTGGGTGGATTTCCGCGGGAAGCTGGGTTTAGCAGTACGAAAAGCTCCACGTCCTGACTTCGGTTCATGGGATTCGGGTCCTCGATACACCTCATCAAGGCGCAATTTTGGTGCCTCATTGCAGTTAGGATCTCCTATTACTATCGTTATGGCTACTATTACTATACTTATTAATCCTATTACTATTACTACTGTTCCTACTAGATGTGAGGTGAACCTTGGTGGTCCAGTTTCATGGTGCCAAAGACTCTATTCGAAACGTAAAGCAACGTGCATCGCAGCGCAGGTAACCATAACCCATATTCCAATCCCTTGGTCAATGCCTAGTAACATGGTTCATAACATGGCTGCAACAGCCAACATATGCCCGAGGAAGAGCCTTGTGTGACGGCCAGGCCCTGCGAAAGCAGTCTGGACCACAAAAACGTACCACCTGCTTGCAGGCGTGAGTTGGTTTTGACAGGAAGCCATTGCTGGCAGGCTTTCATCAGAGGATCAAAGGATCTATACACTTCTTGATGATGTGCTGTCACAGACTTGAAAGCATCATCAGCATACCCCGCTGTCTTTGCGGAAGCTTTATGAAATCTGCACCGTTAGGGACTGGGAATTGGGAGTAAAATTGTGACTAGCCATAGAAAGCGCCATGGCTTACATGTGCAGAGCATGTAGATGAGAACTCGAGTTGTTTTTTTAATACGTGCAAGCTGCGACCATGTTCCTCCTGGCTGTGTTGAGCACGTTGTTACTTGGGTGCCCGTGCCAGTCCTTACCAAAACCGTCCTGCACTTCACGCCAGACCTGACACCGCCAGTTATGAAGCGAGAAATTGGGACTTTGGATTGCATCATCTGCAATGTTCATACACCATTTTCTACACTTTGTAAACGGCACATGTCATATATGGGTTCCGAGCAAGGCCTCTGTTTGGGAGTCCCCAGAAAAATAGAAGTGACTATAACAATATATTGGAGGCTATATTGGGGCTCCCTGTTTATGCAAGCCCCCAAACGAAGCTCTGCCACTGTCAGCCCAAAACGCCTTGCATTCGGAGCATCGGAAGTCAGCATCAGGACGCCCGCATTCTGCACACCTACAGCGGAGGTCACATGCCCAAAAAAGCTGAACCAGCTGACAATGGAAAACAAGCCCGTAACCGTACGGAAAACGACAATTCAATGCCGATCAAGCATACAAATTGCTGAAAGAAGGCCTTCCACTGGTTTGCCCCAAGTGTGGTTGAGCAGCGCTGTAGCAACGAGCCCCAAACATTCCCAACCTCTGTCAGCAACCATAATCCCCCCTCCCCCTAATACAAAATACTCCCAAAACATGAGAATATACCACTTAATGGGAGTATTCAATATTAGGGGGGTGGGGGGTTTTCAATGTTAGGGAAAGGGGATTACAAGTTACATCACCTGACACTCTGAGCTCCGAGCCCTGCCACCATGGCAGCAGCAACGGTAAGAGGGTTGGTTGGGCACAGAATAACTTACTAGGGCCTAGTAGAGAATAATATGGGAACATATTCTGTAGGGATTCTACTCCCTCAACCCCCTACTAAGAACCAGTAAGGTAAGGTGGGTCTGCAGACAGACAGCTGGGCTTGGGGCTTAAAGTTTCGTGTGTGGAAGCGGCATGGGATTGAAGCTTCTGAGGATTGTTGCGTTTGGACTTCTGATGTCCAAGCAGAGGCACATGCTCAGGTTGAAAGAAGCAGCTGTGTCAGGTCATGGTGCAATTATCCTTGCTTTGAGCCATAGGCCGCTCTCACAGACCTACTTGAGACGTTATTGTCAGCAGTGGCTAGAAGGATATCCCGAAGAGATTTCAAGAACGCGTCCCCAAAACCGATAGCCCAACCTTCCCGTCTCCCCGGATTGATTAGGATTTAGGGATTAGGGTTTAGGCCTTACCCCAATATAATCCCAATATAATCCCAATATAACCCCAATATAACCCCAATATAACCTTGGGTATCGTAGGGTTCCAAACAACAAGGTCTCTGGCTGCTGGATGCCACTGCTGCCACTGAAATCAGCTCCGAGCAGCTTTCAGCAAATCTTGCTGTTGCAAGTCTACTGAAACCTCTACCTGGACCCCAAAAGTATGTAAAATAATAGTCTTTATGTCTGTTGTTAGGGGTTCAGGGCGAGTAGTTTACATGCTCTTGGGGTTTAGGTACTATCATCAGTCTTCTCGCTGCTTGTACTGCTGTGATCTTTTCTTCCGTTGCTCTCATTAAAACAAGTCTTCTCATTGGGTGTGGCAGATGCTTTCCCAGTTAGCCATCTAAGCACTAGCCCACTTTGGCATGGGAACGTTTCAACGTATAGATACTTTTTTGGGCCCCTCATTATATCGAGCTAGTTTGGGGGTCTACAGGAGAAACCTGGGACCTTTTTGTTGCCGCTTGCAGCCCTTCTGCTTAGCCAGTCTTCCCAAGCGGTTTCTGATGGTCCCAGAAGTTGTGCCGCAATTTCGGCACCTTGGCATCTGTGACATGTCTACCAGGTTCATTACCATATTTACCATTGCGTATAGTGGTATGAGAAACCTGTAGCCCTGAATCCTGAACCCTAGACCCGGAAACCCAAACCTGTTACCCCTCCTCTGCAAACTCGGAACCTCTGAGCTATTGTCTAGAATCCTTAACAGAGGGGGTTTATGAGCGATTGTATAGGGGACTACTATAGAGGTTATTAAGGATGCGAGGAGTTTAGACTATAACTCTCTGAATCCTAAACCCAAACCCAGGCTTCGGGTTTTGTGCGTAACCACGCAAGGCAGGCAAGGTTGCAATGACTAGTCGATTCAGACAGAAAAAAAACCCACAACTCAGACGGAGATACCGCAATAAACTCTAAAACCTAAACCCTAAGTCCTCTCCCAGCACTTTGCTCTTGACTTGGGGAAGTGGCTCTAGGGGAAAAATCCCGCAGGGTAAGCTCAGGATAAGCCTTGGGTAGGTGTGGAGCAGGGCTATGATAGCTGTCAAGGTTTCATGTCAATTTCAGCGCTGAACTTGAATACTTGATATTCATGCAGCACAATGGATTTTGCTAACGCTCCAATACACAAACCCAAACGTCGACAAGCCTCATAAGCTCTGGGCTTGTCAACCTAAGTTAGGGGCACTTCAAGCCCCAGCGTAGCTACCCAATTTTTAGATTATCATACGCTGACCCTCACATGGGGGCAAGGAAAGGGCCAAAATTGCTGGGCTCAGAAAGGAATAAGGGAATATGATCCCCATATACTTTATTCCCTTATTCCCCACTAACCTCAAGACCCAAACCCTAAGCCCTATACATATTCCTTTACTGACAATGCAGGCTCAGGTCGGGGGGGGGGAGCATATTCATCCCATACAGTACTGACCCTAAACCCTACACCCTTTCTATCTATCTATCCCTAAACCCTAAACCCTAAATATATTCCCTGCTAACCCTCAGTAACCCAAAAGTCCCTTTTCTGCGGCTGAGATTCCGAGGCCTCCCCCGCGGTGTGCGCCGCCGCATCCCGCAGGCAGGCCCTTGGACTTTAGGGCTTAGACTTTAGGGTTTATAGCGTAGGGGTCTAGGGCTTAGTTTTTTTGGGGTTTAGGGTTTAGGTTTTAGAGTTTAGGGTGGGCTTGGGAGCCGTATGAAAATTGAAGGCTTATGGTTTTATATAGGAATCAAGCATTGCAAAAATGAAAATGACCCCTGTCTAGGGCCTGGCGCAGGAATAATGCGCACATGTATGAGTAAGTGTGTACGCAGTGGTTCGGCTCGCTGACGTTTTGTTCATGTCATGTTGGATCCTGCCCAACGACCCGCTGACTTAGCTGCGATAGGGTCATGGTTTTCGAGCAGTACTTTCTGCCTGCCATGGCAGCTAACTACATGATTGCCCAAAAAACGATTCAAGTGGTCACTTTTCCGGGGTTGAGCCGCAATTTTGGCTTCTCTGGGAGATTGAGCTGCAAGCCCATAATCTTGGCTGCATGGCCAGGCTGGCAAGCTCCACGTACCTCAAAACCCTTGTAACCAAAACCTTCCATCCCCAAATCAACGCCAAGAGTCCTCAAACCCATGGACAAAGGACTGTTCTGACTCTCTACAGTATCAAACTGTGTCATCTGTGAGCTTACCATCAATCAACCCTATGCCCCAAAGTGTAAGTCCCATAAGCCCCACTACAAAACCATGGATTTCAATCTGATCTGAGCTCTTGTCTAAACTCCTAGCATCCCCCTATCATCCCCTGTATAACCCCCCTTCAAGGAGTTTAGACCCCAAACCCTCAACCCTATACAATCGCCTCTATAAATAACATTTTTAGGGTTAGACCCTAAAGCTTAAACCCTAAACCCTAAACAACCCCATATATAAGCCCACTTTCAGGAGTTGAGACTATAACTCACCTGGAATCGGGAAAAGTCCCCGCCTCAGCAGGCTCACAGAGCTCTTCCAAGGTACATCCTGCTCACGGGCACTTGTTGATACGACTAAGGTTAAGGTTTAGGACAGGGCTGTTTAAGGTTTAAGGTTTAGGATTTAGTGGTTTAGGGTTTAGGGGTTCAGAGGTTGTGTGTGTGTGTGCGCGTGTGTGTGTGTTTTTTAAGTTTGGGGTTTAGGGGTTTAGAGGTCTAGGGTTCAGGGCTACTCCTTATACAGGTTGACACTAAAAGGAGAAATGCAATTGTCGCTTTCTTGTTTTCCTTACTCATGCCCTTGCCATGGGATGAGCAGCCCCAAACCCTAAACCCTAGAGTAGGACAAATAGGAAGAGCAGGAGCTGCAGGAACAATCGCGGCAGGAGCGGGAGAGGCAGCAGTCATCAAACGAAAGGGCTCAAAACATTGTCGCCCTTGCTCCCACTAATATCCCCCACCCCCCTAGTATTCAATAAGGGAAGCATCGTGGTACATTGTAAAAACTGGGAGTATTTAAGATTAGGGGGGATGGGCCTTGGTAACCTGAATCAGGCCGATGGGTCTTTATTACTTGTTTTTGTAATTGCCAATGTCTTTGCCTAAGGTAATCTCCCGCCCTTATTCTGCGAACGTGACTATAAAATTTTGTAGAACTAAACGTGTAGGAACTGAGATACTGGTACTGTCATCAACTTTGGGACCCCTAAACCCAAAACCCCTAAACCAGAAACCTCTAAACCCTAAACCCTAAACCCCTAACCTCAGGAAGAGCAACGGAACCTGGGATGGTTAAGGGTTCATCCTGCAAAACGCCCCAGAGTGGGTAATCTTGGGGGTAAAACTAGGGTAAAACTAGGGTAATATTGGGGTAATGTTGGGGTTATATAGGGATATTACCCCGATAATGATCAAATGGAAAAGAACATGGAAAATGAAATGGGAACTGGGATTATAGGGTTAAAGCTGATGCACGTGAATTGTACACAGACTTTCAACACGACTGCTTTTGCATTCTGAAGCGGGCACCGCCATCAGACCAGTCAGCCGCAACATGTTCCTGCGAGTCCTTCCTGTGTTCAAGTGCTTCTAGAAAGGCCTGAAGTTTCGGGGTGGACAATAAAAGAACTCTTCAAGGAAGGGAAACATGAATGCCATAAGCATTTCAGCTCCCATATCTCCCCAAACTCCTTAAAATATCACTGCCCCTGAATGAAACAAGAAGCCCTCTGAAATAAGAAGCCCTCCCAGGGTAGCCTAAGCCCTGCTCTGCCTCGCGAACCCAAACTCACCTTAATCTTTTTTGTGCTTCACACAGGGATTACAAAGACAGTGACGGGGAAGTCTGGTGTGTATGTCAGGCTCAGACTAACAACTCCCACGTGTTCCAGAATCCCACTGTTCTACTTCTTACGAAATTCTTGCGGTCAAGGTTTAGGGCTTAGGCTTCAGAACCTTAGACCAACAACCCCAAGCCCGAAAAAAGAAAGAGCCCTAAACCCGCAGTCGTAAACCCCAAGCCTCCGCAATAATACTCATCATAGCCATAGCATTCTCATAGCAACAATAACAAGCATCGTGAACATAGTCAAAGCAAAAATCACAATAACAACGCCAAGGGACCCCTGCCTGCCCACAAAAATCATTTTTAGCTTGAAACGGATTAAATAGAACTTAAGGATGACAAAAGCTACAACATATTTTCAGACCTAACCCTTAACCCTTAACCCTAAACCCTAGACCCTCAACCCTAAACCCTGCAAAGGGGGAGCTATTCTCGCCTCGTTCCAATAGAGTGGCTGCGCGAGCAAACTCAGAGTGGATGGCCCTCCAGACCTTGGGGATGGTAGGTTTAAGGGATGGGAGTTTAGGATTTAGGGTTTAGGGTTTAAGGGGTGGGAGTTTACTGGCCTGAGGGCAGCTAGGAATGAAGGAATGGATCCTTATAGTAGTCCCTATTTAACGCATTGTGGTAGTTTCCATTTTTTCCCTTCCCTTATTCCCAGCTAACCAAAGGCCAGTTTAAGGGTTGCAAGTTTAAGGCTTTGGGGGGCTCAGGATGTAGGAATTTGGGATTTGGGATCCATGAATTTGAAATTTTCTGTTTTTTTGTTCAGGGCTTAGGGCTTAGGGTTTCTCAACGTTCTAATCATGGGCCCCTTTGTGGGGATCACTTTCATGGTTGGGCTCCGTTGAGTCTGCTCTCGGAACTTCCTGGCTGCTATTCTCACTGTTGGTGACGCACCTCTTTTTATCTTTATGTGGCATGTCTGTCATGATTGGGGCTGTTGGGCACACGGCTACTATTCCTCCGGTTCTAGCTGTGCCTTGCAGTTGATTCCCGTCTTGTGGATTCTTGTAAGCATCACGTATGTATGCAGCCGGAGCCGGCCAGTGTTTTTTTGATTTTACAATACATGCTAAAAGAAGATGTGTACTAAGAGACCATGCCTTCCAACCAACAGCTGTAAAGTTTGGTCGCCATCATCTTCTTTTCCATTATCCCTATATCACCCCAATATACTATAGTAGTTTCCATGTTATTTTCCATTATCCCTCAACCCTAAACCCACCTATCAGTCTGGCCATGAATCTTACCTCTCCTGCTTCCCTTTCTTGAAGTATGGGAGGCCGGTGGGCCACAGCGCCACAACGGACTCCACATAACTGGAACTTCTGCATCAAGCTCCATGTGTGATTGGCCCATTTTTGCATGCAAACCTCACAGACTTCTACGAACTCTGGGTAGATTGCCATAGTGGTGAATGGGTTCACGTTCTTTCCCGTCAGGGGACACCTGGCGGCACTCAGGGCCACAACTGAGGAGGGCCTTCCTCCAGCCAGGATTGCAAGCCCTTCCACCCGCATTACAAACAAATGAAACAGGCTACTGCTTGGGACATCTTGCTGTTAGGATTCGCTCATATACCTCCGGCATAGTGACGCCAGTGCCATGAAAATCCTCAACAAGGGTCTCATCATTACGACACACGACGCGTTCCCTGCATTAATATTCTCCATCCCACCCCCAACCCATCTGTCATGCAACATGCTAAACATTTTTTTGTTCCAGTCGGCTCCCCGATCGGGCCTCATCACCAACACTCCCAGGTCATTGACTTCCTCCAAGGAATACGACGACAAGTGGCTTCTTAGGGTAATTCATAGTCCGAGTATTATATGAGAGTTGTAAGCCAAGAATGACAAGCTCTGCCTCTGCCACGCAAGTAAAGCTCCACCACCCCTAATCCGAAATATTTCTTGATAGTGTCCTGTACAAAAAACACCATATATAGGACACTTATTATCACGGGGGCCTGCGCGGTTCATTGGTAGAAGGGAAGAATATTGGTAAGTATTCTGGCTCCAAGCTGCAACTGTGTAGCCCCAGTCGCTCCCTCCAGCAATGCAGCCCCCTCCCCTAAGCAGGGAGTCTTTATCGTAGGACAGAATGGTCTATAAACGATTTCCGAACATTCTTGTATGTTCTGTTTACTGCAGCTCCGCATCATCATCACTTGTACTTGGTAGACCTGCCCTTGCAAGTTCTGAGGCTGCAAGCCCCCTGAAAAAAGCTGCGGAGTCCTGCGAGGCGTCGTAGACGTAGACCGTCTGACCATTCCCATCGTCACCACCGCGGAACTCCTGAAGAGCTTATCTGAGCCCTAGTCTAAACGACTCGTCTAGAGCCAAACCGGAGGTGTGCTTCAGCAGGCGGCAAAAGTCCATTCAAGAAATTTCGAGAACACAGGAGCCACCACAAGTAACAGCCAGGAGATTCGATGAACAAGAACGGCTTTGCATCTTCACCCATCGCAGCAGCTTGGTGCACACTTTTTGCGCTTTGCTCCAGGCCTCTGCGGCCTGTAAGTAAACGTCAGCACTGGCACCCACAGTTTCCTGGATGTCTTTGTGATAGCCACCTCCCATCGTAATGAGTAGTGGCATCTGCCTCTCAGAGGCAAGAGAGTAGAGGAGGGCATTGCGTGCACGCAAACCCTCCCGGGACAAGGAAAAGCGGCCGAAGCGGTCGCCCTTGAGGCCATCCACCCCAGCCTGGGTTGCTGTTAAGGAACTTAAATTAAGTTACCATAATGGGTACATTTTTAGTAAATAATAGGGTTTCCCCAATATAGTAACTTAAATTAAGTTCCTTAACAGCAACCCAGCAGCTTGGTAGATGATGAGGCTGCTTCCATGCTGTGAGATGAGGTCCTGAAGTGCCTCCAGGGCCTGGAGAAAGGTTTGGTCATCGCAGCCATCGGGCAAATCTACCTCCAAGTCGGAGGCGCAGCGTGTCGAAAATGGATATCCTCGCTGCTGGTGTACTGACACGGTGTACACCGAGCTGTCGCCTTGGAAAATTCCCGCGGTGCCGTTGCCCTGATGTACATCCAGGTCTACGATAAGCACTGATGTCACCTGGAACTCCTGCTGCGCAAGGCGCGCGGCCACGGCAATGTCATTGAAAACACAGAAGCCCTCTCCCGAGTCTGCAAAGGCGTGATGTGTACCACCAGACACTGCGCCACTCCAGACGCCGTTCGTGAGGCAATGCCGCGTTGCTGCCACTGTGGCGCCCAAACTCGCCAGGGTCCGAAGCACGTAGGCATGCATCGGGGCTTCCCTAAAACCAACCCGTCGTCGCATCTGATCTGTAGCCTCTCCTCTGAAAATACTTCGGACATAGGCATAGTCATGTGCCAGGCAAGCCTCGTCAAAGGTTGCCAGCGGTCCTGGTAGCACAGGAACACCCGCCTCTTCAAGCAGTGCCCTGGTCATGTGGTACTTGTCGATAGGAAATCGGTGTGTTGCGGGTAACTGCATGTCAGCCCAGTCACTGGAGAAGAAGCAAAGCCCATGAGCTTCAGGGCTTCGCGAAGTCTTCTGGAAGACCTCTGCGGGGAGGCCCAGGGGGTTACTGCTTTGGAAAGCCCGCCTTGATCCCGCGCGTAGGGCTGAAGCACCCCGCGCGAGAGGAGAAGGGCGTAGACGCATCTGGAGGTAAGCGACTGGAGTGATCGAGGGCGGGATTCACTTGCAATCTCTGCATTAGACAAGTTAGAATTTACTAGTGGGATGCCCCTGTCTTGGTAGATGCCGGCTGTTGTATCTTATTGCCCGTATGTGGGTATCAAACGAGCAATCAAAGGCTTTAAGTACGGAAAGCCTTGATTCCTGACTACATTGAGGTGCCAGCCTACTTCCACATGGAGGTGTCTGTATCAGGGAGTTCTTCTTGCTCCCACGCGTTGAGCAACTCTGTAACATGCCTTTAACCGCAGTAATCCGTTTCAAGACCCCTTCTGAGACAGCACCCTGCTACGTTGGTCAACTTCTCAAATGCCGGTCTGCATTCTGAGCCACCGTTGCTGCAGTGACCCTGGCAGTTACACCCTATCCCCCTCCCGAATGCTTCTCCACCTTTTCGGATATGTCCTGCACCGAGAAGAAACATGAGCCTTTTGGCCATGTCCTCTCATTCTGCAACCAGAGCCCGCTGCCGAATGCCCTTGTGACAGCAGCTCATTACATGGCAGTTTCCCAAAACAAGCGGGCCCCAGTATAGATCCCCAAAAACCATAATCCTCATTATACTGACCCCCAAACAGGTGCCCTATTTTTGGGAAAGCCTAAACCCTGAATAGTAGCTTCCATCTTTTCCATTACCCCTATTTAAACCCTACATAACCCCCAAAAGGGTTCCTCCAAATGCCCCTTGTCATCCCGAAGATCACCCAAAGCTCCCTTCAGTCTTCCGAGTGACAAATAGCTGGGCTCAGTCCTCTTTGCCCCAGAGCTCAAAGAAGCCCAGCAGCAGTTCGCCCAAAGACTCCTTGCTTTCTGGGGGGCTGTATACAAGGCGCCTACAGGATCCCTGCAACTAGATTTCTTAAAATTTTGCTCATGGCTAGCCTTTCCACTCATTCCTCTCACTACCATCGCCGCAGCTTCCCCCAAAACTTCAATCAACTTCATTTCTTGCTCTCCTACCACCAGGGATCATAGCTACTTCGGCCCATGCCCACATGTAGCGATCGCGTCGTTCCAGTCCCAGCCCAAAAACTCTGGGGACGGATTCTGACACAGACTCAGACCTTGCCACCCCTGAAGGTCATATATAAGCCCTATGTAACCCCATTATAATCGTTTCCACTTTCTTTTCCATTATCCCAGTATAACCCCTATGCAACCCATTCAGAGGTATTACTGCACATGTATAACACAACCTGTGCAACTACCTGGCAAATCTCTATGCGTTCCAATTTCCGTAATCCCAACAACGCCCCGCTTCACCGAAGAACTGGGGGCGCCTGGTTGGTATGAAGCAACGGAAATCGGCCCTCCTGGAGATGGGCGTGATGGGGTCATGTTCTTGAAATTTGTGGGTCCCTTTGGTGGGGTTGGGGATTACGTCGTGTCAAGCATACAGTGTATGGGGACTGGACCATAGTTTTGAGAAACATCCAATGTGCATACGGAACGGTCCGTTTTCCCTGCACATCCCTAGGCTCTCGGATAGGTGCTACAAACGAGCCCGCTACCAGTCCTGCTCATGGCCCTACATAATTGATCCTCTCCGGAACAACTGGAACAATCATAGCAAGAATGGCCTCAACAAAAGCAAACATGCTAATGGCTCTACCTAGATAGACATGCCAATGAAGCAAACAAGCGCTGTCACATACATCCTAAGTGACCGCCATAGCCCCTTTATCATCCTCAGCCTAATCCCTAAACCATGAACCTATATGGGGTTGCCCTAGGGGTACCTTTTAGATTTTAAATGTCTCCATAATAAGGATTGAAATATTTTTGTGGTCTATATGGGGCGCCCTATTTTGGGAAACTACCATATCCCTTGGGCCCCTAGGGTATGAGAAGCCCCCAGTTGCTCTGGGTCACAGGCTTCCTTGATCAGCTTTGGATCCGAGATGAACGGCCTTTGCAACTTTTCCGCACTATGCATACTCGGTTGGCAATGTGAAATGATCCTAATTGTATTTCCATGTGGGTGAAAGGTGAGAAATGCCTGTCATGCATATTTTGGAGTGTTGAATAATTTTGTGCCGGGCTATCCGATGCTCACGCAGAGCAAAGCCCTCAGCAAATGCTCGCAAAAGCGCTAGCAATAGCATATTAGAAAGCAAGAACGCAAGACTGGTCTCATTCTTCTAGTGCACCTACATTACTACCCAAGGATAAAACAGACTAAACAACAATCCAGGGTGTGCCATGCACCAGCGCCAAGGCCAGCACAAAGAACGCAAATGTCCAGAGATGTCGTCCTGGCATGCTGGTCTGACTGCCTCTTGCTTACTGCCTCCGGCACCCTCGCCTACCCCTTTGCAAGAGTGAGCAACGGTGAGACTGGGACTGCAATTAGTTGCTGTGGCATCTGCATCCATAATAAACTACGAATGGCCAGTTGCTCCTTGTGCCTCTTGCAATTGTCAAAGCTCCCATCTCTTTATGATTTGTTGCCATTCTCTTGCTCGCTGCTGCTACTACAGCAGAGCTGCCATGACCAGTGTGCACCCCTACAACCCCCCAAGTCCTACCCCTCTAACCGAACGGGATAGGTGTCAAGATGAAGGATTCTGCTTTTGTCGTTCTAATTTAAGCGTGTTGAGCCCTCCTGCTGGACATAGCCCTTACTAATTGCTTGTCTGATCCCTTGCGGACCGCAAAGAGGGATCCCAACCCCAAACCAGTGCTGCCGATAGTTGCCAACAGCCTGGTCCGCTTCGGGGAGAGCTATACAATGCTATTGAACAACCTTCTCAAGTTTTGGGATCTCAAAAAGCAGCCTTTATGTTGACAATCACCCTGATAACTCTGCCGGTCAGAGCCATTTCAGGGGCGGTGAGCAGGTCGTTCACTGCTTTGGGCACTGCCTCCACAGAGTGGTGGTGCTTTGTTTGGCTCCGTTCAAGGCATTGGGGTCGATGATTTCAGTGGTCTCTTGGTTTCCTTCCCTTTCTTCGTCAAATGTTCAGCTCCGGGGTGAGATGTTTGGAGAGTTGAGAAGCACAATGGCACCTCCATTCTCGAATATGGAACCAGATCTTTCTTCACCACTCCCCACCTAAGTTTGTCGACGTGAAGTCATCAGCTGTCGAGCTTTTGGCTTTCCCATGAGAGGATAAGATCCATACTAGAGAGGCTGCCCAAAAGGAACCAGCAAGCTGTGAGACCCTGAAGTGGCCTCTGTGACGTCGCAGCCTTCCGCGCCTCAGTGTTGCAGCAGCTGCGTGTGTTTGAACTGCCTCATCTACCCTGCCAATACTGCGGCGCAGGGTAGCGGCCCGTACCAGCTACTAGGCTGGCTGGTTGTATGGGTAAATTTCTGCCGCTTCTGACCCTCACTCCCTTGAACTTGTCATCTCTACTACATGCAATGCTGTCACGACATCTGGTGCCCACTTTGATACTCCAAGCGTATCGTGCCAACATGCTTCTGCCTGATTGTTCTTAGCAATTGCTCAGCCTAGAAAAGCCTTTAGAATTTAGAGAACCTCTTCAGGACATTTGGGTGACCCAGGGATTGTTACTTGCTTCTCGTGTTGTAGCGAAATCTGTGTCGTTGGAGAAAGTGGCATACAAAACCCCCATTGAAAGCTATGAACTCCGGATTTCCCATTCAACGGGGTGACAAGAACATCGTAAGGAGGGCAAGGGTCTTCACGCCAAACAGAACTCAAAATCAGCGACCTGGACTTCTCTACGCCATCTGGAGACCAGGATTGATCCCCTCCCCGTGATAAAAAAAACCGCCCAACCCCCCCCGCCTAATATGAAATACTTCCCGGTGTGCTATGTTATAATATATTGGGAGTATCTAATATTAGGGGGGTGGGGAGGTTTAATATTCGGGGGAATGGATTAATGCCAGACGGCAAACGCACCTTACAGTGGGTAGCAACGATCTTTGGCCCTCCCCGTCTGATTCAGTCTGAGTGCGCAGATTGGGAAGCATCTTCGCTTCGGAAGTTGAAATCGTAATTGCACCCCTCCTTGTGCACTTTTGAGATCAGGGCAGGACACCCCAGAAAATCCAAGAGAGCAAGGCTCAGGCCTGAGCTTTCTGGCGGCTCCATCCTCAGTTGGGCTATGTATATATATATATATAACACTCCCATGGCAGTACCGGCATCTGCTCAGTATCCAGTATTGACAGCAGGGGGCAGCGCCGCAGAGCAACGCGGGCATGAAGAAGATGCAAGAATCAATCAACATCACCACTGCCCGCCACCACCAGCAAAGCCACCCACCAGTACCAAGACTACCACCATGCGCGGGTGCTGCTATGGCGGTGGCATGGCCCGTGGGGGTGTTGCTGCTTTAATTGCTGTTGCCGGTGGGTGTGGTGTTTCTTGCTGTGTTGCAACGCGGTGCACCGTGGTGCAAGGGGCTAGTTGAGTGGTAGTGGTATTGTGGTGTTAGAGGCGGTGGTGTTGGTGACGGGATGGCGGAGGTGGTGGTCGTGGCCGTGGTCGTGCTCGTGGTTGTGGCGGCGGGGGCCGTGGCATCAACGGCGGCGGCGGTGTCTGTGGGGGTGGCGGGCGGTTGCCGCTGCTTTTGCTGCTGCATGCTGCTGCTGTTTCTTCTGTTGCTGCTGCTGTGGCTGCTATTGCTGCTGCTGCTATTGCTGCTGCTGCTACTGCTGCTGCTGCTTCTGCTGCTGCTGCTTCT